TAGACTTCCTTACTAGCGCCCTAAATGGTTTTACCTTAATGAAGAAAACGTGCTCCAAGCAAACAGCACTGCAGTGCTCGTCCTGTTTGCACGCGGTAAAGGTTACAAAGGGGGCTTCGTAATCCCCTAAATTTTTAAAGTGGTATTCGTTCTCGTAAGGTTTAACCGGAGATCTCGTGCCAGAGGCCTGAAAGAAACGGATGGAAACAATGCTGGGGCCTGCAAGACGAGTGAAGACAGACCATCTAAGTATATATCTAAGTAACTAATTGTTACGCATCTACGAAAAAAATAATCCATTGTAACACCTTATTGTAGAAATGACATCCTTTAGTTCTATTTTTAGGCCGTAAAAAAGGAAATTGTCGCCCCTTTCAAGTAAACTGCATTGCGTAATAGCATTGTTTCAAAAAAAGATTTGTAAGTGTTTGACATATAAACGTAGCTGTATGATTTCTTCTTTCAGCGTACCAGATAAGAACAGCATATATTTATTCATGCAGCACGGTAGCAGTTAATTCCTTTTTACCATTACACAAACTTTTTGAAACAATGTTTACACCAAGTAATCTTGCTAGGAAAATTCATGGAAAGTTCGACTCATGATCAGATGCAGAAGGACGATACTCGCGTGTGAAAAAGAGGTTTCAGCAAATGTGTCTTTGCAATTTTCCGCCACGTGATGGATAATCCGATTAGCGCATCAAACACCCAGAATTCTACGTCACACATGATTTTTCATATAAAAAATTAGGTGGCAGTTACAGCTAATACTTATCACTTTACAACAGATATTATGCTCGCTCATCAGATCTTGTTCGCATTCTCAGTGAGCTTCGAAATAAAGGCTGGACTCAATTTGTTGCTTACTTGTTGTAAATAGTCATAATGAAGCCACCACCGATTCCGCTAGACTCAGGGTTCGTGACTCCTATACAGAACATAATCGCAACGGAAGCATCGGCAGCATTCCCACCATTCTTTAGAACATTTCTGAAAGAAAAATATGTCCTTAATCACTGCGTCGAGTTAGAAGTAGATACAAAGTGAGCTTTACAAGCACTATTTCTAAGACAATAATTGAAGTTAACAATAAGCAATTGTGCTTCTTCTACTATCGATCACCTCCTTGCCGTGGGGGTGGAAAGAAATTTTATACATAAGGAAAGTTACCGTAATCCTGCGCGCAAAATAAGCTATGGTGTACTAGTAGTTTACTGCACTCCTGTTTTGGTAAGTATAGATAATGACTCAAAAATTAATATTGTTAATGCGATGCGCTTAGAAGAGGACTCAAGTTGCTATAGGCAAAGTCAACCTCGTTATTCATGACTTCAAAATCATTGCCTTAGCATTGGAATTTTTCAGTGATTATCAGCGATAATGCTTGTACTAAATACGTTGTAAAAATATAAGACGTACAATTACTCTTTTTTATAAAATCGTGTCGAATTGAGGTTTTTATTACAAATGCTCAGAAATAGGGAAACATACCCTCCAATCTCTGAACAGAGGGCATGGTCGGAGCTTAGAGCTGCTTTGCGAAACCGTCCTTCGACGCTATTGGACGGTGGAGGCCAATCAAATTCATGTGCAATGTCCTTTTTCTGGAATTAGCTTTATCTTCTATGGAATGTAAAAAGTTGCCGAAGTTTGGTTCGTGATCCATTATTGCATCGCAAATGAAAATGTAAATAATGAACTTGAAAATATTTTGTCCTAGGAAAAGTTATTAAGCTATCATAAAGTTAACTTTATTTCGTAACTGTTCTTAATGTTAACCATACAAGACAAACGGTGCTCACACTATCAGTCTTAGCCGTTACGGACAAAACTACTATAGTCACTACGATGGCTGCTAACACCAATGTTCCACCAAATCCGTAAAAGAACCTGAAATAAAGACTACAGGTACGCATGTACATCGCATGCGAACTCATCATCACCATGGCAAAATCTGATAGACTAACAAAATGGACATCATCTATTTTCGTTCTTTCTTTCCCTGGAAACAAAACAACT